AATTTAAAGTGGAAAAGGTAGTAAAAGATTGCCATACTAGATATATGATAATACAAGGTAAAATGGGGTTGGAAGAATATACTTTGGTTAATGTTTGTATACCTAATACTAAGGGAGAATTTTATGATACGGTTTTTAAAGAAATGGAAAAGGCTAAGAAAGGTTATGTTATTACAGCAGGAGATTTTAATATGGTTATGGACAAGATAAAAGATAAAACTTTTTAATGGTCGGAATGATATTTATCAAAGAAATGAAATACTAAGCAAGAAGGTAAGAAATAATTAATTGAAGGATATTTGGAGAGAATTAACTAGATTATATATTCACATCTCAGGACTTAATTTCTAAGATAGCTAATACTGAAATTAATTCTATTAAAATAACAGATCATGCTTTGATGTTAACAGAGATTGAAATAAAAAAGATTATAAAGACTCTAAAAGGTAAAGAATGGATAATAATAGTTTACAGTACCCAGAGGTAATAGAAAAGATAAAGAAGGAATGGTTAGAAGTAAGGGCAATACATTTATTTATTTACAGTATTTTTTTACAGTAAATGAAGCAGGAGGTGATAAATTAGGCCTGTTGTGGAACATAATGAAAGCAATTTTAAGAGTAATAACAATAAGGGAATCCTGTTAATTAAAAAAAATTAAGGCGAGAAATGTAAAGTTGAAAAATGGCAAAACACCAGGCCCTGATGGATTGGGTCCAGAATATTACAAGCATTTTAGTTCCATTTTGATACCTAAGTTACAAATGTTTTATAATAAAATAATGGGAGGAGAGAGAATACCTGCTTCTTGGAAGCATTCATTAACAATTCTTATTCCAGTTGAACTATTTAAAATCTTAAAAGATGGTGCTATTAATGTGCTACACTCAATATGCCAGCAAGTTTGGAAAACTCAACAGTAGCCAGAGGACTGGAAAAGATCAGTCTACATCCCAATCCCAAAGAAGGGCAGTGTCAAAGAATGCTCCAACTACAGTCAACTTACAAACAGCCCTAGTTACGAACATTTCAACTTATGAACCACTCGGAAAAAATTTGGCATCTACTTCTGAACTGAGCCTCAACCTACGAACGAGGCTCCGTTCGCAAGTCGATGCCAATGGATCGATTGGCGCCTTCAGAGCTCTCAAAGGGCTTCCCCAGTAGGCCTAGTCTACTCCCCAGGAAAGCCTGGTAGACTTGGCCTAACAGGGGAGGGCTTCCCCCGGTAGGCCCAGTCTACTCCCCAGGAAAGCCTTTTAGAAACTGATTTTTAAGGAAATATGTGATCTATTTGGTAACGATATTGAATTTAATGCTAAAATTGCTTTGTTGTCAATTTTTGACAAGTTAGATCTTGATTATTACTCAAAAGAATTGATTATTAACTTTATGACAAGTGATAGAATATTAATAGTTACGTTTTGAAAAGACAAAAATGATATTAAATTAGAAGATTGGTATGGTGAAGTTTGGGATATTGCATTAAATGATAACTTATCTGTTGAACTCAAGATGAAAAGAGGGGAAATAAGTTCTAATATTTTTATGCTATTTGGGGTAGATTTGTTGAATTTTTATTAGTGAAAGGAAATGGGAAAGCTTCTAAACAACAATCTATACAATTTTGGAAAGGAAGTTCGTAATAAAATATTGTTCAATGGGGTCCCGTGGGTATGAGGTGCATGGTAGAATTTAGTGTATAGCAAGCATTATTATTTGTATTTTTGTATTTTGTTGTTGTTGTTGTATTTGTTTTCTTTAAAAAATAAAATAATTAAAAAAATAAAGAATAACAACAGAACAACACAGGGACTGATAATGTTTTTTCTCCATGCCACAGATAATGTTGCTTCTAAAATGCAATAGTAATGAAGCACCCTTGAAGTAACAAGTAATGGCCAACACATTGCATATATCAAGCTTCAATGTGAAATTCATATCAGTACTTTAGAGCTGATTTAACACTCTTGTAAGTTGGTAAGAAGCAATTTCCATTGTAGACAAAGCGCGTGCCTCAGTGAAGTTTGTGCTGGGACTTCCTTAAGCAACCCATTTCCCCATATGTTTCTCTTCACCAGGTCTCCTTTAGGGTTCGTTGCCATGTGAGGCATGTAGCAACAGACCATATATGAGTGTTTCGGCTCAAAATATACCGCGGAATAAATCATTTTCAATGCATTAAGGTCAGCTTCTAAGCAAACATATATAGGGTTGCAGAAAAGATGTTCAGAAATGTATGAGAATTTAAATTCTTGATTTTTTAAAAATAGCTTAAAAACCATATTTCTGTCCAAAATATGAAACTATTAATCTCATCAAATTCTTCCAAAGAATTGCAAAAAGTCGTCTCTCATTTGTTCCAGCCAAATTCAACAGGTGCAACTCTTTCTAATATGGAGTGGACAATGTTGTACCTATCTGCCATCTAGACCAGGGGTCCCCAACTCCCAGTCCGCAGCATGGTGCTGGTCCACGGCCTTGGCCGGGCCGCGGAGATAGATCCCCTGCCCCCCCCGCATGCACTCCCAGTATGCCCCCTACAGCCCCATCACTCATGTGCATGAGTGTGTGTGTGCCCCTGCCCCTATGTGAATGTGCATGTGTGTGCACGCGTGCGAGTGTGTGCATGCACCGTGTGACCGCTACCACCCCTTTGCTCATGCACACAAGCATGTCATGTCAAGCGCCCCCTGCCCCTTCGTGCATGTGCGTGAGTGTGGGGGTGCCCCGCCCCCACGCACATGGACCTGGCCTTGGCCGGGCCGGGCCGTGGAGATAGATCCCCTGCCCCCCGCATGCACTCCCAGTACGCCCCCCACAGCCCCATCACTCATGTACATGTGTGTGTGTGCCCCCGCCCCTATGTGAATGTGCATGTGTGTGCACGCGTGCGAGTGTGTGCATGCACCGTGTGACCGCTACCACCCCTTTGCTCATGCACACAAGCATGTCATGTCAAGCGCCCCCTGCCCCTTCGTGCATGTGCGTGAGTGTGGGGGTGCCCCGCCCCCACGCACATGGACCCCATCCCCACCAACCAGTCCATGGTGTCAAAAACGTTGGAGACCACTGATCTAGACCTTAAATAAGAGGAGCATCTCTGGGACAAAAAAGGTAGCAACCTAATTTAACACTAACATTCCAGAATATAATACATTCAAATCTTTGATGTGGATAAATTAATCCCTCAGGTTTAGTTGCTGCTTGAATTCAGTTTGTCAAACTTCAAGTTCTTTCTGTTACAGATATGAAGGTAAAGGTAAAGGTTCCCCTTGAGAATTTTTGTCCAGTCGTGTTCGACTCTAGGGGGCGGTGCTCATCCCCGTTTCCAAGCCATAGAGCCAGCGTTTTGTCCAAAGACAATCTTCCGTGGTCACATGGCCGACCCCATCCCCACCAACCAGTCCATGGTGTCAAAAACGTTGGAGACCACTGATCTAGACCTTAAATAAGAGGAGCATCTCTGGGACAAAAAAGGTAGCAACCTAATTTAACACTAACATTCCAGAATATAATACATTCAAATCTTTGATGCGGATAAATTAATCCCTCAGGTTTAGTTGCTGCTTGAATTCATTTTGTCAAACTTCCAAGTTCTTTCTGTTACAGATATGAAGAAATGTGCAAATACTGGTAAATTCTGGTTAAAACTAGTTAATTGAAATTCTCACTCATTTCAAGATTTGAATCAAAGTAAATATGTGAAAGAGTACTAGAGTGCCCATATTTCATTTTGAAAATTGCATTTCCATAGAAAACCTTGGTAGCACTGTATCATGCTTTATGAGCCTTCTCAGCTCCTCTCTGTTTCACCACCTTCCAAGCTCCCTGTACTGGAGTGCCCATATTTCATTTTGAGAATTGCATTTCCATAGAGAACCTTGGTAGCACTGTATCATGCTATATGAGCCTTCTCAGCTTTTAAGATCTTCTGGGGAGGCCCCTCTCTGTTTCACCACCTTCCAAGCTCCCTTGGTGAGGGCCAGAGAGAAAGCCTTCTTAGTGGCTGCTCCCAGGTTTTGGAATGCACTGTCCTGAGAAACCAGGTTAGCTCCCTCCGTCCTGTCCTTCCATTGTCAGGCAAAGACCCTCCTCTTCAGGCAGGCCTTTAAACAGTTATCTCAGGAATTCTGGTTTTTAACTTACAGATTTTAAAATGTTTTAAATACTTGATTTTTTAAATCTCAATGTGTGTTTGTTTTTAAAATGTGATATTTATGTAGTGTTTTTAATTTTGTTATTTTATCTGTTGTGAGCCACCTATGGGGAGAAAGGCAGCATATGAACAAATAAATAAATAGGTAGGTAGGCAGGCAGGCAGGCAGGCAGGCAGGCAGCAACAAAATTTCTCCAGTGAATTTAGGAGAATACCTACATTCAAGACTGGCTTCAAAATTTGGAGCTCAAGGAAAATCCAGTTCAAACATTTCCTCCTGGAGTTTAAGACACATCTCATGTGGGAATTAAATAAAAGTTTAAACTAAGGTTGAAGGGATGGATGAAGTAAATTAAATACACAAACACACACATTACATAGCTGCACCTGTTTGATGCCAGGAACACCAAGCAAGTCTGCTTTTTGCAGATTACACAGCCTCCACATAGTGTTTCTGTCTGGGCAGCTTTCTGATAAGTCCATCTTTAAGCACTTTTGAGTTTTCATATTTGCCAGCGGTCCAATGAAAGTTCCTTGAGCTGTCTGCATTCAGAATATCAAGTTGTGTGTCCTTCCTTGCTTGATGTTGCTTTGCAATGCAAATTGGAGGGCTTTGTATAACTCAGTGCTATATCCATGGCAACCAAAAAGAGAGAGAAAGAGGGATAAGTTTTGCATTACTTCCTTAGTGGAGCGTAACCCTCCTCCGAAAAGGCCAAACTGTTTTACAGGGACAGCAGTGTCTTGCTTTGAAATAAAAGCAGAGAGGAGTTTCTGTTTTAGAATCCGGCTTCAGTTCAGTCCAGCCCCTTTCATCCAGCACATTTTCCCCAGCTCCCCACGTGACCAAAACTTTGACGACTACTTGTCCTAATATTCCTTTTGCTGAGAGGGCTAGGAAAGAAGCATCCATCTTATCTGTCAGCTAGAAAGACGCCAGTATTTGGCAAAAAGCCCCTTTTGGGCTTTCATGGAAGGGTTTCTAGTTCAATGGAATTTGGAAAGACAGTTAAGGAACACAAGTTCCTGTACCTTGCCTTTTTGGTTCAAGGGTGTGTGGAAAAACACAACTACTGAGGCACCAGGCTAGCAAGGACTGGCCCACTGTGTGCACCTGCAGCAGCTGCAGAAAGGAACAGAGACTCAACACTGATATCATCTAAGGACCTTGATCTATGTTGGTAAATTTTGTGATACTCTGTCTCATACCCTTAATGTTTCCTTTATGTTAAGATTTACCAGATTCCGTCTTTTGTGCATTTGCCCGTTCTCTTTTAAACTGTAGATTCTTATAAATGTTTTCAGTGAAAGCAGTGAAATTTAGCATATGTATTCGATTTCCCATGATGGTGCTTACTTCCAAACCATCACATTTATGTGTAAGTGAGTCTTCTTGTTTATAGCCAAGCTTATTTCAGAATCAGTGAGTGTAGGGCTGGGAACTTAACTTCCTTAGAAGGAAAGCCAGTTGCAAAATTTATGGTTAGAGTGTTGAGAGTTATAGAGTGCATGGTAAAGCTTTTGAGTTTCTCAAATTTCTTTAAGTGAGAACAGTTGTCTAATATATGTTGCTGGAGATTATGGGTGTTATCGGCCAACAACATTTGGACGGCCACACACTAACCGTTTATAATCTATAGGATTACCTCTTGCTCATATTATGCAAACTGCATGAAGAGATCATGAAATACTTTTTTTGCTCACCATGGAGAATCTGATGACAGCCTCTTACTTTATAGCATCTTAGGTGAGTCGGATATTGGCACTGGCAATAAGCAGGTCTCTGCTGCAGCATCTTATAACAGGTTCAAGAGAGCAGGACAGGACAGCCAACACATATACCTCTGCCTTCCTACATCTTCACTCCATCCCTGTCTTGCTATTGGAGGTAGATGCTTTACTCTGTCTAATGATAGGGCCAGTCTTTATTAGGAAACAAAGTTATATTTTCTGTCTTAGGTGAGCAATGGTTACCAGTTGCTAGATTTTCAAAGGCAAATTCCAAATTCTGTTTCTCTAATGAATTAAACAGAGAGATAGACAGAGAAAGAGAGAGAAAGAGAGAGAGAGAGAGAGATGGAAGCCGAACATATTACAAAAGAGTATACTAGGGGAAAATGGAACAGAATTGTGGCTGATTAAGAGTGTGACTACGCTGTTGAATTAAATTGGAGGCTGGTCTGGGTTTTTAAGAATCAATATTATATCATATGTTTTTGTGCTGGTGTGTGCATCTTCATGGAAACTGCAACCCCTCATGTCTTGCCTCTCTGTTGTAAGTAGATGTGGAAGTGGAGTGTTTCTGAGCTTTTCACTTGATGAAGGCTTATCTCAAGCTGAGGAGAGTGTGGGTAGGTAGTGGGGCTTCTCCTAGCTCTGAAGACCAGACACCCCACTTTCTCCAACTGCCAGGAGCTCCATGGAGCTGAGATGGAGGGCACAGACTGTGTTCCAGCAAGGGGGAATTTCCAGGACGTGCTTGGGGGAGCAAGAGTCACAAACTGTAGTGCAACAGTCTGTCCCCAGTCTTCTCAGATTTTTTAATATTTAATTTTTAATGAGTTTTTGAATTGTCATAGTGCTAGATCAGCAATGGCAAAGCTATAGCACACATGCCACAGCTGGCACACAGAGCCCTTTCTGCAGTCAGGCAAGCCATAAGTCACCGGATTGCTACTCCCACACCGTCACGTGCAGCCAAACCTGAGAAGGTGGTTGCAGCCGCAGTGCTGGCACATTGACAGGCGGATCTGAAGCAGCTGGCGCTGGTGGCGGATCCAGAGTGGGGTCTCGAGGCACCTCTGTGCCTGGGATTCCCTCTTCTGCTGCCACATCCGGTTCTGCCACCGCAACCTCCGGTTCCGCTGCCACGCTGCCACGATACACCACCTGCTGAGTTGTTGTTGTATTTTTCTGTTGTGGCACATGAGCCCAAAAACATTTGCTATCGCTGTGTTAGATCAATGCAGGAATAAAATAGAACTGGATAAGGAAAAATGGAAGAGTACTTAGCACCCACTCCAGCAAACCCTGCAGACCCCCACAGACCCTCCTTACACTGATAGAGGCATTCGCACATGCAAACAAAGGGTGACCAGAATCAATTTAAAATGAACCACTCTCTTGTTGGTGTTTTTTTTTCCAAAACCACTTCCTGACCAAAAATACGTGTGCTTAGTTGTACATCATGTAGACTGATACTTTTAAATTGATGTCAAGTGTGCTAAACTTGACACAAGCCCAGGAATATTATGATGTGTAGCCAAGCTCTGAGTTACTCTATCATGTCTAAAATGATGCTGAATATTTCCAAGTATATCTAAAAAGTATGAATATTCCAACTTCTTGTTTTAACTGATGTGTACTGTTCCAATGAACATAGAATTTTATAATTTTTTGCTTTTTTGCATTATATTGCATTTCTCACTTTTATTATATGATTGCTATTCTCATTGTTCCACCTACCATGGGGAGTGAAAGAATCCTGTCTCTGCAGCTCTGTTCATCAGCAGGACTGGTCACCCTCATTAGTGCATATGCACCAACACTGTTGTCTACAACAAAGCAAAGCAAAGCAAAGCAAAGCGTGCTGCTTATATACCGCCCCATAGCGCTTCAAGTACTCTCAAAAGTCAAAGACAAATTCTATGACAATTTGGCAGCTACACTACAAAAAATCCCCGAGAGAGAGCCGTTGTTCATTCTTGGAGACTTTACCACTAGAGTTGGTACTAATCAGAATTCTTGGCCCATTTGTCTAGGCTGTTTCGGCACTGGGAAGATGAACAAAAATGGCCAATGCTTGCTGGAGTTTTGCTTTGTGTCAGCAACACGTTCTTTAATACAAAGCTTTGACAGAGTCTCTTGGAGACATCCAAGATAGAAGAATTGGAATTAGCTCGATTTGATCCTCACTAGACACTCTAGCCTCCCTAGTATTATGATCACACACAGCTATCAGGCTGCTGATTGCAACACTGATCACTCCCTGGGGAATTGGAATCAGCTCGATTTGATCCTCACTAGACACTCTAGCCTCCCTAGTATTATGATCACACACAGCTATCAGGCTGCTGATTGCAACACTGATCACTCCCTGGTGCGTAGCAGAGTAAAACTGTGAATAAAGAGATTGTATCACACGAAAAAGGAAGGAAGACCACATATTGACATCAGCAAGACTCACGATCAAAGAAAAGTGGAGGAATTTGCCCAAGC